CTTCTTCTTTTCCTATCTGGATTCCTTTTATTTCTTTTTCTGCTCTGATTGCTGTGGCCAAAACTTCCAAAACCATGTTGAATAGTAGTGGTGAGAGTGGGCACCCTTGTCTTGTTCCTGATTTTAGGGGAAATGCTTTCAATTTTTCACCATTAAGGGTAGTGCTTGCTATGGGCTTGTCATATATAGCTTTTATTATGTTGAGGTATGTTCCTTCTATTCCTGCTTTCTGGAGAGTTTTAATCATAAATGGATGTTGAATTTAGACAAATGGGACCTAATTAAACTTAAAAGTTTTTGCACAACAAAGGAAACTATAAGCAAGGTGAAAAGACAGCCCTCAGATTGGGAGAAAATAATAGCAAACGAAGAAACAGACAAAGGATTAATCTCAAAAATATACAAGCAACTCCTGCAGCTCAATTCCAGAAAAATAAATGACCCAATCAAAAAATGGGCCAAAGAACTAAACAGACATTTCTCCAAAGAAGACATACAGATGGCTAACAAACACATGAAAAGATGCTCAACATCACTCATTATCAGAGAAATGCAAATCAAAACCACAATGAGGTACCATTACACGCCAGTCAGGATGGTTGCTATCCAAAAGTCTACAAGCAATAAATGCTGGAGAGGGTGTGGAGAAAAGGGAACCCTCTTACACTGTTGGTGGGAATGCAAACTAGTACAGCCGCTATGGAGAACAGTGTGGAGATTCCTTAAAAAACTGGAAATAGAACTGCCATATGACCCAGCAATCCCACTCCTGGGCATACACACTGAGGAAACCAGATCTGAAAGACACACATGCACCCCAATGTTCATCGCAGCACTGTTTATAATAGCCAGGACATGGAAGCAACCTAGATGCCCAACAGCAGATGAATGGATGAGGAAGCTATGGTACATACACACCATGGAATATTACTCAGCCATTAAAAAGAATTCATTTGAATCAGTTCTAATGAGATGGATGAAACTGGAGCCCATTATACAGAGTGAAGTAAGCCAGAAAGATAAAGAACATTACAGCATACTAACACATATATATGGGATTTACAAAGATGGTAATGATACCCTATATGCAAAACAGAAAAAGAGACACAGATGTAAGACTCTGTGGGAGAAGGCGAGGGTGGGATGTTTTGAGAGAACAGCATCGAAACATGTATATTATCTAGGGTGAAACAGATCACCAGTCCAGGTTGGATGCATGAGACAAGTGCTTGGGCCTGGTGCACTGGGAAGACCCAGAGGGAGCGGGTAGAGAGGGAGGTGGGAGGGGGGATCGGGATGGGGAATACATGTAAATCCATGGCTGATTCATGTCAATGTATGACAAAACCCACTACAATATTGTAAAGTAATTAGCCTCCAACTAATAAAAATAAATGAAAAAAAAAAATCATCACTTATTGAGTTCCTGCTAGGAGACAGGGAGGATGTGGTTGACTTACACCAGACCCTACTCATGTCAATTTTAGGCAATTATTTTAGTTCTGTTTTTCCTTATGAATCAACTTTGAGGTATAATTTATATACAAGAAAATGAAACCATTTTAAGTATCCAGTTAAATGCACACTGACAAATGATTCACCCATGTATCCGTCAGCACAGTCAAGACACGGAACACTTCCATCACTCCAGAAGTTTCCACATACCCATTTACAGTCATGCTCACCATAATTCCCAGGCCCAGACAACCACTGGTCAGCTTTCTCTGACTGTAGACTAATTCCATCTGTCCTAGAATTTTACATAAATGGAATAATACAATATGTACTCTTAATGCACCAGGTTTCTTTCACTCATTATAAAATATCTGAAATTCATCCATGTAGTTGAGTTCATCAGTCATTCATTTCTTCGTGTCTGACTCTTTGCAATCCCACGAACTATGTGGCCCACCAAGCTCCTCTGTTCCTGGAATTCTCCAGGCAAGAATACTGGAGTTGGCTGCCATTCCCTTCTTGAGGGGATCTTCCTGACACAAGGATCAAAGTAGGGTCTCTTGCACTGCAGGCAGATTCTTTACCATCTGAGCCACAAGGCTGCTATGAAAATTCCCATACAAGTCTTTCTGTGGACCTATTTTCCCCTTCTCTTGGATAGATGGCTAGGAACAGAATTGCTATACAATTCAAAATATCAATCAGAGGGTGGTGTTTATTTAGTTTTTTTGGTTTTTTTTTAGGTTTTTAAGACAGCCTTGTTTTCCTCTAAGTCTAACTCCCAAATAGGACAGTTGCCAGTAAGCTGTGGGTGTGTAATAAAAATCGCTAGGTCATATTTTGGGACGAGCAGGAGAGGGGCCTGTCTCCGCCCTCTGGGCCGGGGTGGAAGGGAGCTACAAATGCTAGAGTGGAAGACACCTCTTCTAAGAGTTAGAAGCACCTGATCACAGCAATCGCCTCTGTCTCTCTGCAGGGGCGCAGGTTTTCCCCGGGAGTGCAATCCTTTCTGCACAGGCATCGGGGAGGAGGGAGAGGATGCGGGGAGACGGCCAGCTCCATCACTGCACACAGCGGCCAGGTCGCCCCGGCCCCTCGGCGTCCTGCGCGTCCCGTCGCCGTCCGACGGCGTCTGAGCCGTCAGGGCCCGGCTGCTGAGAGTCTGCCTGCTGCCTGCTCTCTCAGATTGTCCATCTTCCAGGCATCTGCTGGACCTGCATTTGCTGATGATCGTTTCTCTATTCTCTTTCACTTTGGCTGGGTTTGTTATTTTATTGAAGAGTTGGTAGACAGGAGAAGAATGATTATCTTTGGTTTGCAGTCCTCACCCAGAAATCAATGGATTTGATTCAGTGCAGATATCAAATATTAAATCTTATGACTGAACCGTCCCTGGCCAAGCTCATCAATGACTGCTGTTTAGCCCTTCGCACGTCTTCAAGTCTCCTCCTACTTACTCTCTCCGTGACATCTCGGTGACCTTGTTTCCTGAATGTTCTCTGGATTTCCACAGCACTACTCTCACCTGGTTTCCTCCAACCTTAAGCTCCCCAAGAGCTCCAGAATGTGCTTCTCATTCCCCGCAGTTCACCTGGTGCCTGGTTGGTGATCAACAAATATTGGCCTGATTGAATTGAGACCATGGATATTTAAAAATGCTTTGTGTTTTATGCTTGTTATTACTGATAATAACAGTGAAATTTGTACTTTGAAGAAGAAAACCTGCCAAGTAAAGACAAACCTCAAGCTAATCAGAGAAAACCAGACCTTTAGTTTGTGTAACATAAATTCATGATGCTGTGAAGAAATTAACGATGCCCATCTTCACGTGAGAAGTACATCCCCTTCATTCTTTGGCACTTCCTAAGGGTCAAAACCAATATAGATTTCTCCCATCAAAAAACAAGGCGGCGGCTGCCAGGGCTGGTGGAGAAATGAGTTTTTTGTAAGAGGAAACAGTTATGGAGGTGGACGTTAATGATAGCCGTCTAACAGCGTGAATGTACTTAGTGCTACTGGAGTCTACACTTAACAAGGGTTAAGATGGTAAACTTTATATCATTACATATGTGCGTGTTGTCGCTCAGTCGGGTCCAACTCCTTGCGACCCCATGGGCTGTAGCCCACCAGGCTCCTCCGTCCATGGGATTTCCCAGGCAAGAATACTGGAATGGGCTGCCATTTCCTTCTCCAATATTATGCATATCTGGCTACAATTAAAAAACATATATAAAGTCTCACATGTAAAAACGCTACCTTTCATCAGGATACTTTCCAAACAAAATTCTGATCTGTATCTAAACTTAAATTATGAAGAGGGTAAGGAGAGGCATGTCAAACACAAGAAACACTCTGAATGATAAGGAAACAGAGCTGCAGAGTGATATCAGCAATAGCAGTTTCCATCCATTGGCGCGTACTTGATGCCAGGCTCTCTGCTAAATGCTTTACATGGGTTAATTCATTCAGAACGACTACAGGAAACAGGAAGATTGGACATGTCAAGTCAGCTCCCGACAGTCTCACTGTCAGCAGTGAGTGGGAGAAATGGATCAACCCCAGGAGGTCTGGTCCAAAGCCCTGCTGTGACCCACCACGTGCCTGGCCAGTGTGGGGTCAGAGGGTGGCGAGGAGGACACGTTCAGACTTCCCGAAGCTTCAGGCTTAAGAGGCTAATGAGACAGAACGGACGGCCCCGGCGCAGCCTTTGTGTGCCGAGCACAGCAGGAAGGAGAGCCCCCAGCAGCTGGCTGCGGAGGGAGGCAGGGTGCCTCAGATACCAGGGCGCGAAAGCCTGAGCTGCCTCAGAGGGAGGGGTGGCGGGGAGGACGTGTGGGCCAGGGCCGCGCCCAAGCCTGCACAGCTCCTGGCTGAACAAATTCTGACTAAGAAATAAAATTCGCCTATAGAAATGTATTCTACCTCTGACTGCATTTGAAAACAGACTGGCAAAAGAATCAACCTCACTTTCTTCCCCTCAAAGAAAAGAAATTTAACAGACTGTGACCATCCTTGATGTTCAAATCACAAGGAGGAAACTGACTTTTTGTTCAGATTATACTTGAAGTAACAATGTTACAGGGGTTGCGTGTTAAAATGTTCCCACACTGAAGATTCCAGGAGGTGCATGATGACTGCATGAAATGTAAACTGCAGCAGAAAATTCACACTGCAACCTGAAGAGCTTCACTGTTGTCGAGACAGACTGAGAGATGAGGAGAATGCAGACACCAGAGTGAGCCACCCTGAAAGCCCAGATTCAAGCAGCTTTCCTCGTACCTGCTGCTGCCCTGCATGCCTCTCAGATTCCACCTGCCTTCACGGCATCCCAGGGAAACACCTGGTAACGTGCTGATGCAAGAACCAGAGGGACGGATCTCACCTCTAAAGGCCAGAAGTCCCTGCTGCTGGCGATGCCTGCTGGCTTCAAGAATCACACTGAAATCTTCTATACTGAGATACAAGTTACTTCTTTAACTACAGTCCTGACAATTCTATACCATATATAGATATTCAATACTATCCATAGTGAAGGTATACTATACCTCGTTCCAATATCAAGCCAGCTGCCATAATCTTTGATCAAGAAGAAAAAATGCTGTAAAACAAAACAAGATACGGCCCCATTAAAAACAAAGGCTATACAGAGTCAGTCTAAAAACAACGTTGTTTTAGGGTTGTATCTTTCAGATTTCCCTCAGAACCACTATCTGATTGAAATCAATGAGAATATGCCTTTTATTGACATTTTTGCTTGGACTAAAATGAGCAAAAGCCTAAAAGCCAGAAATAGCATCTCCATTTAATCACACAAACACAAAAGTGACATCTGTGAATAACTAGAAAGAAAACCCAGCCAACGTTAATAAAATAACTAAATGATACCAAGGATCGCAGTGAACAGAAGCCATATTGTCTAACCATAAACAGACATTTCCCAGTAAACATTTATCCTGAAGATAAACTCTTTCAGGAGCCTGATAATCTAGTGACTGATTCGGTCAAATGGTCAGGCGTGTGTGCTAGGTGTGTGTGTGTGTGAAATGGTCAGGCGTGTGTGCTGGGTGTGCGTGTGTGTGAGATGGTCAGGCATGTGTGCTGGGTGTGTGTGTGTGAGATGGTCAGGCGTGTGTGCTGGGTGTGCGTGTGTGTGAGATGGTCAGGCATGTGTGCTGGGTGTGTGTGTGTGAGATGGTCAGGCGTGTGTGCTGGGTGTGTGTGTGTGAGATGGTCAGGCATGTGTGCTGGGTGTGTGTGTGTGAGATGGTCAGGCGTGTGTGCTGGGTGTGTGTGTGTGTGTGACATGGTCAGGCATGTGTGCTGGGTGTGTGTGTGTGAGATGGTCAGGCGTGTGTGCTGGGTGTGTGTGTGTGTGAGATGGTCAGGCGTGTGTGCTGGGTGTGTGTGTGTGAGATGGTCAGGCGTGTGTGCTGGGTGTGTGTGTGTGTGAGATGGTCAGGCGTGTGTGCTGGGTGTGTGTGTGTGAGATGGTCAGGTGTGTGTGCTGGGTGTGTGTGTGTGTGAGATGGTCAGGCGTGTGTGCTGGGTGTGTGTGTGTGAGATGGTCAGGCGTGTGTGCTGGGTGTGTGTGTGTGTGAGATGGTCAGGCGTGTGTGCTGGGTGTGTGTGTGAGATGGTCAGGCGTGTGTGCTGGGTGTGTGTGTGTGAGATGGTCAGGCGTGTGTGCTGGGTGTGTGTGTGTGAGATGGTCAGGCGTGTGTGCTGGGTGTGTGTGTGTGAGATGGTCAGGAGTATGTGCTGCGTGTGTGTGTGTGAGATGGTCAGGCGTGTGTGCTGGGTGTGTGTGTGTGTGAGATGGTCAGGCGTGTGTGCTGGGTGTGTGTGTGTGAGATGGTCAGGCGTGTGTGCTAGGTGTGTGTGTGTGTGAGATGGTCAGGCGTGTGTGCTGGGTGTGTGTGTGTGTGAGATGGTCAAGCGTGTGTGCTGGGTGTGTGTGTGTGAGATGAGTCAGGTGTGTGTGCTGGGTGTGTGTGTGTGAGATGGTCAGGCGTGTGTGCTGGGTGTGTGTGTGAGATGGTCAGGCGTGTGTGCTGGGTGTGTTTGAGATGGTCAGGCGTGTGTGCTGGGTGTGTGTGTGTGTGAGATGGTCAGGCGTGTGTGCTGGGTGTGTGTGTGTGTGTGAAATGAGTGCAGTCCCTGGAAGCACAGGCCAGGACGGGAGCTCAGAGGAAGGGGGCACACCCCAACAAGGGTGCAGGGGAGGGCTGTCCGACAAGAACTCCAAAGGTCTCAGCGATAAGTAAGAGGTGAAGGGGAGGCTGGGGTGGTCAGAGAAGGAGCGTGTTCTGACCGAGGGATAACCTGCATGAGCATCAGGAGTCCACGGCCAGGCCAAGTCCAGGAAACAAGTGCAGGGGTGAGGCATGGGCAGGGGTGAGGCATGAGCAGCGGTTTGCCCGCACACGGCTCTCTGAGCTAAACTCAGCAGTCTGATTCTTCATATAAAGTTAACCAGAGCATTTAAATTCCCTCCTGTTAAGACGGCTCTGCCTTTCTGCCACCCTGTGAGCACACCCAAAGTCCACTTGTCCTGACATTATGTGTGGTCCGCGTCAGGGACACATCCAGTCCAATGCAGCATAAAAACGCTCTCCTCTGAACCAGGTGACGAGGGCTCTGACTTGGGAAGCTGTCCTAACAGCCTTGTCACCTCCAGCACAAGAAGGTGACTAGTGAAGAGGGACCCTTCTCTAAAGAGAGGGCTGGCCCTGGCCGCCAGCTACTGCGGGGTGTTAGCAGGTCCTGCCTGACAGGAGCCTTTCGCCTCGGGGACCTCAGCCACTGGACAGTCGAATCCTGTCATTTATGTTCAGGGCTCTGGGTCATGTGCTATCAGTTCCACCGCCAAGAGGGCTGGGGATTAAGGACAGCCATGGGAATGTGACTGAGCCCCAGTAAGTCTGGCTGTCACGGCTCTGCCGAGCGCTGTCGCCGTCAACGCGGGGGCCCAGCTGTCCCCGCTCCACGGGGCGGGCAGCCAGCACTGCACCGCGCGGCCCTGAGGGCTCTGCCCTCAGCACACCTCCCCCCGCCAGCCTGCCTCTGCTCCTTCCGCTCTAGCGGGCTTCCCTGCCGGCTCAGAACCTGCCTGCAGTGCAGAAGACCCAGGTTTGATTCCCGGGTCGGGAAGAGCCCCTGGAGAAGGGAATGGCTACCCACTCCAGTATCCTGGCCTGAAGAATCCCAAAGACAGAGGAGCTAGGTAGGCTACAGTCCATGGGGTCGCAAAGAGTCAGACCCGACTGAGCGACTATCACGCTTCCCTGTAACAAGTCACACCTGTGAGTGTTACAGTCTTCAGTGAATTCTCGAGTCCATTCAGTGAATGCTCAAACCTGAGGGTAGTGAGGGGGACCTCCTGAGCCTGCAGGTGTAACGCAGGGTCTATGTGTTCATACACTACATGTAAGAGGCCCAGCTACTGCTCAAACCTGAGGGTAGTGAGGGGGACCTCCTGAGCCTGCAGGTGTAACACAGGGTCTATGTGTCCATACACTACATGTAAGAGGCCCAGCTACCTGCTCAAACCTGAGGGTAGTGAGGGGGACCTCCTGAGCCTGCAGGTGTAAAGCAGGGTCTATGTGTTCATACACTACATGTAAGAGGCCCAGCTACTGCTCAAACCTGAGGGTAGTGAGGGGGACCTCCTGAGCCTGCAGGTGTAACACAGGGTCTATGTGTTCACACACTACATGTAAGAGGCCCAGCTACTGCTCAAACCTGAGGGTAGTGAGGGGGACCTCCTGAGCCTGCAGGTGTAACACAGGGTCTATGTGTTCATACACTACATGTAAGAGGCCCAGCTACTGCTCAAACCTGAGGGTAGTGAGGGGGACCTCCTGAGCCTGCAGGTGTAAAGCAGGGTCTATGTGTTCATACACTACATGTAAGAGGCCCAGCTACTGCTCAAACCTGAGGGTAGTGAGGGGGACCTCCTGAGCCTGTAGGTGTAAAGCAGGGTCTATGTGTTCATACACTACATGTAAGAGGCCCAGCTACTGCTCAAACCTGAGGGTAGTGAGGGGGACCTCCTGAGCCTGCAGGTGTAACACAGGGTCTATGTGTTCATACACTACATGTAAGAGGCCCAGCTACTGCTCAAACCTGAGGGTAGTGAGGGGGACCTCCTGAGCCTGCAGGTGTAACACAGGGTCTGTGTGTTCATACACTACATGTAAGAGGCCCAGCTACCTGCTCAAACCTGAGGGTAGTGAGGGGGACCTCCTGAGCCTGCAGGTGTAAAGCAGGGTCTATGTGTTCATACACTACATGTAAGAGGCCCAGCTACTGCTCAAACCTGAGGGTAGTGAGGGGGACCTCCTGAGCCTGCAGGTGTAAAGCAGGGTCTATGTGTTCATACACTACATGTAAGAGGCCCAGCTACTGCTCAAACCTGAGGGTAGTGAGGGGGACCTCCTGAGCCTGCAGGTGTAAAGCAGGGTCTATGTGTTCATACACTGCATGTAAGAGGCCCAGCTACTGCTCAAACCTGAGGGTAGTGAGGGGGACCTCCTGAGCCTGCAGGTGTAAAGCAGGGTCTATGTGTTCATACACTACATGTAAGAGGCCCAGCTACTGCTCAAACCTGAGGGTAGTGAGGGGGACCTCCTGAGCCTGCAGGTGTAAAGCAGGGTCTATGTGTTCATACACTACATGTAAGAGGCCCAGCTACTGCTCAAACCTGAGGGTAGTGAGGGGGACCTCCTGAGCCTGCAGGTGTAACACAGGGTCTATGTGTTCATACACTACATGTAAGAGGCCCAGCTACTGCTCAAACCTGAGGGTAGTGAGGGGGACCTCCTGAGCCTGCAGGTGTAACACAGGGTCTATGTGTCCATACACTACATGTAAGAGGCCCAGCTACTGCTCAAACCTGAGGGTAGTGAGGGGGACCTCCTGAGCCTGCAGGTGTAAAGCAGGGTCTATGTGTTCATACACTACATGTAAGAGGCCCAGCTACTGCTCAAACCTGAGGGTAGTGAGGGGGACCTCCTGAGCCTGCAGGTGTAAAGCAGGGTCTATGTGTTCATACACTACATGTAAGAGGCCCAGCTACTGCTCAAACCTGAGGGTAGTGAGGGGGACCTCCTGAGCCTGCAGGTGTAACACAGGGTCTATGTGTCCATACACTACATGTAAGAGGCCCAGCTACTGCTCAAACCTGAGGGTAGTGAGGGGGACCTCCTGAGCCTGCAGGTGTAAAGCAGGGTCTATGTGTTCATACACTACATGTAAGAGGCCCAGCTACTGCTCAAACCTGAGGGTAGTGAGGGGGACCTCCTGAGCCTGCAGGTGTAAAGCAGGGTCTATGTGTTCATACACTACATGTAAGAGGCCCAGCTACTGCTCAAACCTGAGGGTAGTGAGGGGGACCTCCTGAGCCTGCAGGTGTAACACAGGGTCTATGTGTTCATACACTACATGTAAGAGGCCCAGCTACTGCTCAAACCTGAGGGTAGTGAGGGGGACCTCCTGAGCCTGCAGGTGTAAAGCAGGGTCTATGTGTTCATACACTACATGTAAGAGGCCCAGCTACTGCTCAAACCTGAGGGTAGTGAGGGGGACCTCCTGAGCCTG